ATTGTATCTTGAACAAGAAACAGTACAATTAATCAAAATATGCACCTAAACTATCGACACAGTTTTGCCATCTTAACGGTAGCTTGTTTATGCCAGCAGGAGGAAGCCTGGAAAGCAAGTGGTGATGAAATCGAGAAAGGTGTTTTCCACAGCTTGTTGAGAATTGGATATTTTTCCTCGCAAGAAGTGGTCCAAAGCCTGGAAGAAGAGGTAAGTCAGTTGGTGCATGGTCTGGTGAATACGGTGGATAACAGAGAGTTTCCAAGTCCAGCCTCTGTAGTTTGAGCAGCTTTGTTCATGCGACATGTGGTCGATTGTTGTCTTGCAAGAGGATTGGCCTGTCTCTATTGACCAATCCCAGCTGCTTAATCACAAATATCCTCATCATTTCATCCAATTGGTTGCAGTAATCCCTTGTAATCAATTGACCGGGTTTCATGAAGCCGTAGTGGATAATACCAGCACTGGACCACCAAACAGTCACTATTAGCTTTTTCTGATGAATATTCGATTTTGGACTGTGCTTCAGCACTTCATCTTTTCCAACCATTGTGCCAAATGCTTGTGATTGTCAAAGTAATCCATTTTTCATCACACATGACAATATGGTGTAGAAATGGTTCACCTTTATGTCGTGACAGAAAGGCAAGCTTTGAGATGATTTCTCTTATGACACTTGTTTAATTCATGCGGAACCCATCTATCCAGTTTCTTTGTTTTGCCCATTTGTTTCACATGGTCCAATATTGTTGGAACAGTAACATCAAAACTTGCCGCTAATTCATGTGTAGGTTGAGATGAATTCACTTCCACTACAGCTTTCAGCTCATCATTATCTACCTTGGTTTCAGGTCACCCACATGGCTTATTTTCAAGATTAAAATTACCAGAATGGAACTTCTCAAACCACTGATGTACTGTGCATTCATTAGCCACATCATTTGCAAACACTTCATTGATATTTTGAACTGTCTGCACTGCATTGATTACGTAACGGAACTCATATTCAAAAATAACACAAATTTTTGACTTATGCACAGTTTCAAAAAATTGCTCTTAAAAAAATTTGAAAGATATTCACAAGCCAAAACATGCGTTTGAAAGACTGAGGATGTACCTTCATGATAAAAATAAAACAAAGAGTGTCAAAGTGAAATGTCAGAGATATCAACTGTCAAACTTAGTACTTAAGGAAATTGGACATTACATACTTAATAACATAATAGTACATGCTCGATAATAAGCAATTAATATAATTTGTTGTGATAACAATCATCTTCATTTATTGAAGGAGTTTCTGAGAAGGCTAAATTTGCCTTTAATTCTCCAACTTTTTCAAGTGCCTACTATGTGACAGGTGCTTTCAATTACAGTATCATATGTAATTTTCCAAGGATCCTGTAAATCTCAGGCAGGAAGAGTTTGCCTTCTTCATGAAATAGCACTTTTCTGCAGTACTCTTTGCAATATTGTCTATACTCTCAGGCTTAGAATTTATCTTTCCTTCCAATGCATGTTAAAAATCTTACGAGTCTCTGTGACTCTCCACATAGTTGAACATGCCTGAACACTAATACAGGTGCTCTTAAGCACACTGAAATTCAGGATTTTCCTGTGGGACAGGTACACAGACAAGAAACAGTAAAAGGATGACTATTTTTTCCCTTTTTTATTACAGTGAGCATGTCAACCAAGAAATGATTTTTCGCGTTCTAAAGGGCTCCAGAGATTTTAGGAATTCAGCCTCTGTAGGTGTTTCCTGCACAGTGATTTCCATGGTCTCTCCTTATCTACTATTAATACTTATAAGGGACGCTTTGGTTTTTGACCACCTAGGTAAGCTCATTGATCTGTGTATGTGTTCCTGAGCCAGTTTCAAATGAGACATCCCATTACAATCTTACTGCAAACACAAGACGGTTTCAAAAACCCACCGTCTACCTTTAGGGTTATATCTGAAGAACTGGTAGATTATGAGTCAAATTAGTCTCTATTCACCAGCTCACTTGGAAAACTGTTGAAGATACCTGGGGGAATGACCAAATGTCTCAACATCATTGTCCAAAGTCAACTTTTATGGCGAAAGGTCTGTTGCCGTAAGAGGGATTTCCAGGGCTAGGACAGGACGGCCAGAGTACTTCTGCAGGGAGTAGGCATGCTCTATATTGTGGGCTGAGCAGTTGATTCTGGGCTGTTCTGCTGGGAACAGGGCATACCCCCCAGAGGATACAGCAGTGAAAAGCTTGGAAGCAGGTCAGGCTCCAGATTTGAACAGAAGAACACACTGGAGACAACCAAGGGAAGGGTACTGTGATGTGGAAAAGTGCTGGGACTAGACAGAAATGTCAACTCCTGGGTAGAGTCAGCTCTCAAGGAATCTTGGGAATTGAGACAGGAGATTCCTACGTTAATTAAGTCCACAGGCAACCCCTGAGGGTGTTTGATTCTCATTGTCGCCTTCTTTAGGCCTATCTTTAGTACCTTGGCCTCAGGGGTCTCCTTTGTGTCATCTGAGAGCTGTGATGTAGTGCTGCAAGGAGAAATGGAGTGGAGCCAGGAAGTCGGCCTCTGGCTAGGAGGAGCGGGAACAGTGTGGGCTCGGGAGGATTCAGGCCAGGCATCTAGTCCCAGCCCTGTCACTTACTAGCCCTGTGATACTGGGATGTGACCAAGCCCTGTGAACATGGGGTTCTTCACCTGTGACACGGGTTTGATAAGCCCTGTCCACCAGGACTGTTGCAATATGCACAGTGCATGTAAAGCGACTGGCACAGTGTCTGGCATATGATGGGTCTGTAATGATTGGAAGTAATTTCCAGTATGATTGTGACCGCAGGCCCTACCACCCTCTACTCTGGAATTTTTGTTGTTGTTGTTGTTATCCGGTACATCTCAGAATATGCAGCTCAAAATGTTTTTCCCTGAAAATTGACGTAGTTTCCTGTTTTGACGATGCTTGTATGGAACTTGGCACTGGTTCCCCAGCCCGGTCAGCCACTCAGAGCCAGCCCTCAGCCACCTCCTCACTGTGCCCTAGGCTCCAGCCAACACTCCAGCACCACGCAGCCACTGCCGCCTCTCCTTAGCCACCGCCATGAGAACCACCAACCCCTTGCAAGTGCACAGGAGCTACCAGCAGGATTCAGAGGCTGCCATCACCTGCCAGCACTACGCCTCCCGTATCTACCTCTCCATGTCTTATTTCTTTGACTGTGACCATGTGGCTTTGAAGAATTGTGCCAAATACTTCCTTCACCAACCTCCTGAGGAGAGGGAACATGCTGAGAAACTGATGAGGCTGTAGAATCAACAGATGTGGCTGAATCTTCCTTCAGGATATCAAGAAACCACACTGTGATGACTGGGAAAGTGGGCTGAATGGATGAAGTGTGCACTGCACTTGGGAAAAATCAAGAATAAGTCACTACTGGAACTGAAGAAACTAGCCACTGGCAAAAGTGACCCCCACTTGTGTGATTTCATTGAGATGCATTACCTGAATGAGCAGGTGAAACCCATCAAAGAATTGGGTGGCCATGTAGCCAACCTGCCCAAGATGGGAGCCCCCAAATGTGGCAGACTATCTCTTTGACAAACACACCCTGGGAGACAGTGATAATAAGAGCTAAGCCTTAGGCTAACTTCCCCCTATAGCTATGGAGTAACTTCCCTAATCACCAAGGCAGTGTATGCATGTTGGGGTTTCTTTTACCTTTTCTATAAGTTATACCAAAACATCCACTTAAGTTCTTTCATTTGTACCATTGCTTCAAATAAAGAAATTTGGTACCCCCTCCCAAAAAGAATATGCAGCTCAATGGGACATGGAATCCAAAATCAGTCAAAAATGTTGCTTTGTAAATAAAACTTAGTAAATTTTCCCTCTTACAGGATATATTTTCAAATTTGAGTGTGTAGCACTCTTTCCAAGCTGGATACAGCTCAAAGAGCCTGGAATTTGAGTCAAGGACCAACTCCTTCCCTCCATCCAAGCCACTGTTTTCATTCATTTCACCCCCATCAAATATCTAGCTCTTGCTTAGAGTTGTCCAAATTACACTAAAGGTAAACTAATTGAACTGCTTTTCTAATGGAGTCAACTGATTTCTGGCCATCAATTCGTAGGCTTATTTCTCAGGAAATCCTTGCAGAGGATGATTATCGATCATTGGTTCTTGCACTGTGCTCAGCCGCAGTGGGACAAGAGCACAGGACACCTTCCACGCCTGCCCCAGGGGGAGATTCCTCTCTGCTTTACTCACCATCCAGAAGGAACTGCTCAGGGCAGTTCTCCCTTCCAGGCTTTGCTCTCAGCCCTAAGTCACGAGTCACATGGTCTGAGAGTCTGGTCCCTGCCACCACCCAGCTTCATTACAACCAACTCCCACAGAAGGAACTGCAGTTTCCCAAAGCCCCAAAGGGTCCTGGCTCAGGGTATTCATGCAGGACTGCTCTCTCCTGGAGCCCCACATCCTCACCCTCTTCCTTTTCCTCTAGGACTTAGAGGACATCTCACCACCTTTGTTATGCGACCGCAGCTCCCAGACTCTACCATCCTATGGTAGATGGTAGATGGTAGATGGTAGATGGTAGATGGTAGATGGATGGGGGTGAGTCTAACTTACGCTAGTATCTCCACTATCCATACAGAGTCTTCCAAAGAGCAGATGCTCACTGAATGTTTGGGGAAGGAATTCACCAGTGAGCAAAGGTTTCGTTTATTACAATTTAATTTTGACTTGAACAAGCTAACAAGATCCAGGTATATATTTTTTTAATTTTACAGAAAAAATGTACTAAAATGATAAGGAAATAAAAAACACTTTTATATTATACAATACCTTACAGTTAACTATAGTCACCCTACTGTGCAATAGAATACCTGAACTTATTCTTCCTATCTCATTGTAACTTTTACCCATTGACTACCCTCTCTCCTCCCCAGTCTCTGGTAACCACTGTTCTCCTATCTACTTCTATGATATCAACTTTTTTTTTTGTTAGGTTCTACATATGAGTGAGATCATGCGACATTTGACTTCCCTCTTAAAATACAGTGAAGAATCTGCCTGACTTTACTTGGGGTAGGAGAAGCTGCTGGCGGCACTAGAACTTGCACTGGCCATGGCAGTAGTATCATCTGTGGGGGCAATTCTGGCCCAGGCTCTCTCTTCCTCATCTCTCAAAGCCTCCTCATACCACAGTGGGAAGGATCTAGGATCACTCCCATTGATCTTGGCCAAAAACTTCAAGAGACTCATCTTGCTGGTTTCAGCGTGGGCCCTTGGACCCCACAGGAACTCATAACATGCAGGATCACTGCCAGGCACCCGCCGGTACTCCAGGTACCCTTCCTGGACCCAATCATGGGTGAGGAGCTTCTGGGGCTCCCCATAGATGAAGTGCTCCCTCCCAGCATGCAGCCCTAACACATTTAGTGTTTCCCAGATGACTGCCTCCGGGGCACAGTTGCCCTCCATGAAGATTATGCTCAGGATAAGTATCAGCATGCCAGTCTTGGGCATGCTCTCAGCATCATTGAGCATCCCATCATACGTGAGGCCCAGGTTTGTGACAAGGATGAAGGAGTGGCCAATGGGGTCCACTTCCTTCACTTCAATGCCAAAGACCAGCTGCATGCACTCGGAGGCTTCACTAAAGATCATAGGGAAGTACTCCTTGTCATTTTTGATGACAATGGTTAGCATTTCTGCCTTTGTGATAAGTTCTTTCATTCCATACTTGAAGAGAAAGAACTGCAACAAATCAGCTATCTTTTCATCTATCTCATTTTGGGACAAGGACCTAGTGTCTGGCAGGGCCTGTGAGGTGCTTGGACTCTCCTTTTGTTGGTTGCTGGAACCCTCATCAGATTGGCTTACTGGGGTGGAGGCAATGCCAGTGGGAGAGATGCAGGCTGCCTGAGGACTCTGGGAAGGACTTGGTGCCCCAGAAACATCAGAAACCTCCTCTGGGGTGCTTGATATTAGAGGATAGCAGGAGGAGGAAGAGGAAGAGGAGGAGGGGAAAGAGGAAGGAAAAGAGGAGGAGCAGGTGGAAGAGGATGAGGAAGAATCCTCCTCCACAGCTGAGGGATCCTGTGCACCCACGAGGCCCTGTGTCTCACTTTCTTCAAGCATGTAGCGCCGACGCTTTGAAGGTGGAGCCATGATGGACTTGGTCCGAGCAGCAGGCAGGAGTGTGGGTAGGCGTTCACAGGCCTGGGGAGAAAGGGAGTGTATCAGTGCCCTCAGTGAGAACCACACCCTGGGGCTGTAAGAAAGGCTTGTCCTATAGGCCTTCTCCTCCCAGGGCTCCTGTCCTCCTGGTCGGCCTGTCCTCTAAGCACCTGAATGAGGAAGTGAGATGGGTCCTCAGGGGCAGCAGCCTGCAGAGCATGAGGCTCCAGGGCTGAAGTGGGCAGGTGGGGCCGAGCACTGTGGGGTTCCCTGTGTGCTGGGAAGGGCAGGGCCCTTGGCACACATTCAGGGTGTGTACCTTACCTTGATTCCTGGCACTTCCTGGACCTTCTCTGCTCTGCGATCTGAGGACACTGCCTCAGACTAAGGTTTCACCGTGGGTTCCTGGAGCCCCTGTAAGAGGAAGCGAGGGGCCCTCAGGCTGCAGATACATGTACGACCCTGGTATCCCCAGTGCTGTCAGAAGGGTGGGCCAGGCTCTGTGAGGTCCCCAGTGTTCACGGGTGGATGGTCCCCTCCATGCTCACTCAGGCCCCTCACTGTTTGCCTGGAGGGCCCTAGACCCCACCCCTCTGCTGGGCTGAAAAACTTTCGGAACAAGAGGTCACATCCCTAATATGGATCAGAAACCATCCCTAATATGGATCGACTTGATGTCTGGAAGAACCTGGGATCCTCTCTCTGTTGACCTGAGTCTGGCCCCCTCAGACCAAGGTCCTCACTGCCCTAAGAATGCCTGGGAAGTCAGTGGACATCACATCTGGACACCATGCTCCTGGGACTCCCAGGTTCACAGGAGGGGCAGGGGTGATTCTATGGGGCCTTCCCTCCTCCCTCCGTGTCTCACCTCACTCCTGACAGAGCCTGGGCCCTCTCCCCTCCGCCGACATGAAGCCTGCCCCTCAGACTAACGGCCTCGCCTCTGTCAGCCCCCCAGACAGACGCCAATGGACATCAGATCCAGCCCCTCCACACCCGGGCTTCCCCGGGCTGAGAGCAGGGGCCAAGCTGAATTATTTGGGGAACCTCTACCTGGGGTGGGGTCTCCTCAGTCCACCCTCGTCGTCTCACCTCACCCGTAACAGAGCCTGGGCCCTCTCCCCTCTGCCAATCTGAAGCCTGCCCCTCAGACCAAGGCTCTCGCCTCTGTCAGCCCCCCAGACGCAAGTCGGTGGACGTCACATCCAGCCACCCCACACAGGGGATTGCTGGGATGACATCAGGGGCAAAGCATAATTTGGAGACCCCCTACCTGGGGTGGGGGCCCCCTCAGTTCACCCTCATCATCTCACTTGACTCCTCACAGAACCTGGGCCCTCTTACCTCCGCCGATCTGAAGTCTGCCCCTCAGACCAATGGCCTCGCCTCTGTCAGCCCCCTGGCAGACGTCGGTGGACGTCAGATCCCGTCCCCCACACCCGGGCTTCCCTGGGCTGACAGCAGAGGCAAAGCTGGATTATTTGGGGACCTTCTACCTGGGGTGGGGCCTCCTCAGTCCACCCTCGTCATCTCACCTCACTCCTAACAGAGCCGGGCCCTCTCCCCTCCACGGTCAGACCAAGGCCTTCACTTCAGTCAGCCCCCTGGCGGAGGTCAGTGGACGTTGCATCGGGGCTCCACATCCGGGGCTTCCCAGGGCTGACAGCAGTGACGAGGATGGACTGTGGGGCCCCCTATCGGGATGTAGCGGAGCCTCTCAGTCCTCCCTTAGGGCCCTGCCCTGTATGGCGCTGAGTCACACCCGGGTCACACCAGGCTCCGACTCCCAGAGTCCCCTATATCCTAAGGGGGAGGGACTCAATCTGACACGTCTTTCCCGGGGTGGTCCATGGCTGACAGCAGGGGCAAAACTGGATTCTTTGGGGACCCTCTACCTGGGGTGGGGCCCCCT